TAAAGTTGCGCCCCCTACAGGTCGCCCTGACTACCCTTGGTAGAACCCTGCTGTAATATGGCAGCAAGGTTTCTTTCAAGGATGTAAAGTTGCGCCCCCTACAGGTCGCCCTGACTACCCTTGGTAGAACCCTGCTGTAATATGGCAGCAAACAATCATTCCTAGGCCTCGTATAAATTCAGGAGTTCTGTACAACCCAACAAAATTAATAATAACCTTACATATACAATTTGTTTCAAACCAACCAGTGGTTCAAAAGGCGCAAGCTAAACAAACACCGACCGGTTTGGTCAATCGACAGCCAGTTTGTTTAATAGTGCTTATAATTTCCAAGTTACCTCAGACGATTATTTCCAATTTTATAAATACTGAAGCAAGGAACGTGCCAGCCAAGATTACAATAATTAGAACAACACTTGTATATTCCACACATATACAAAAAGACTAGCATCATATTCAGATAATAGATTCTTCAATTATGTAAACAAACTAATGTCATATTTAGATAATAGATTCTTCAATTATGTAAACAAACTAATGTCATATTTAGATAATAGATTCTTCAATTATGTAAACAAACTAATGTCATATTTAGATAATAGATTCTTCAATTATGTAAACAAACTAATGCATATTTAGATAATAGATTCTACAATTATGTAAACAAACTAATGTCATATTTAGATAATAGATTCTACAATTATGTAAAAAGACTAGCGTTATTTTGGGTAATACATTTACATTTATGTAAATAGTCTAATGTCATGTTTACATAATACATTCTACAATTATGTAAACACACTAATCTCATATTTAGATAATACATTCTACAATTATGTAAACAGACTAACGTCATATTTAGATTATACATTCTGCAGTTATGTAAACAGACTAGAGTCATATTTACATAATACATTCGACGTTTATGTAGACAGAATAACGTCACAGTTAGGTAATACATTCTAAAATTATGTAAATAGACTAGCGTCATATTCAGATAATACATTCTACACTTATGTAAACAGTCTGGCATCATATTAGATAATAAATTTATATTTATGTAAATAGACTAGCGTCATATTCAAATAATACATTCTACACTTATGTAAACAGTCTAGCATCATATTAGATAATAAATTTGTATTTATGTAAATAGACAAGCGTCATATTCAGATAATACATTCTACACTTATGTAAATAGTCTAACCTCAAGTTTAGATAATGCATTTTATAATTATGTAAACAGACTAGGTCATGTTTAGATAATACTTTCTACACGTATGTAAACAGTCTAGCATCATATTGGATAATAAATTTATATTTATGTAAATAGACAAGCGTCATATTTAGATAAAACATTCTACACTTATGTAAATAGTCTAACCTCAAGTTTAGATAATGCATTTTATAATTATGTAAACAGACTAGGTCATGTTTAGATAATACTTTCTACAATTATGAAATCAAACTGGCGTCATAATTAGACAATACATTCTAAAATTATGTAAAGAGACTAGCGTCATATTTGGATAATACATTCTACACTTATGTGAACAGAATAACTTCATAATTAGATAATATATTCGACACTTATGTAAACAGAATAATGTCATATCATGTTAATACATTGTACACTTATCTAAACAGACTAGCGTCATATTTAGATAATAAATTCTACAATTATGTAAATAGACTAATTTCATATCTAGATCGTACATCCTACAATTATATAACCAGATTAACCTCATATCTATATAATACATTCTACAATTATGTAAATAGACTAA